GTGATGCGCTGATTTGCGACATGTGTTTTAGTCGGAAATCTCTATTTGGGTACAGTTGACCGACCAAGCCGATAACCATACCTTATGATGTGGTAATTAGATACCTAAAAATTACTCACTTAGTTAGTATCAAACACGTTTCAGCCAAATAAGAGTTTTAAGCATGTTTGGAACGCCATCGGAATCATTCGACTTTTTGAACTCTAAAAAGTTGCATTGATTGCACGCTGCCTTTTTTTTAAAGCCTTCTTTACTTACTGCTCCTACTTTAGCCTCCGAGAAAGACCTCATTATTATTAAAGCTGCCGAACCCGCGTTTCTCAGCCCGCGGGAAGGTTTGAGACGAGCCGGGTAGAGGTTTGCCGGGTTTCCCTGTACCAGACCCTTGGAATATCTCTTGCCAGCTGGGGTTGAACATTATTTAGACATATACTCAATATTATTGGTCGTTGTTTGTATTTTCACTACCCCTGCAGGATCGTCAAAATTCGGCAAAATTTTTAAAAATCCTCGACGATACTACACACCAAAACATCTCACAACTTATATGCCTTCATTAATACTGTTTCTTGTGGTCGTCAACAGTGCTCCAGTGAATGTCGCGGGAGACGTGGGCCGAGAGGCCAGCGAGGACGGACTGGGTCAAAAGGACAGCCAGGCCCTAAAGGACCAAGGGGACCCCCGGTCAGTACATACTTTGTGCGTTACCTTACCCTGATATCGTAAAATGGTATAAAAGTGGAGTGATGAATGTTTTTATTCATATTTATTCATTTATTTTTAGGGAGCGAATGGGCGAGATGGACGGAATGGGCAACCAGGACCTCAAGGACTTGTGAGTAAATGAAGCTTACCTACTTTCAGTTGTGAACGTTCTAAACAAAGCAAAAAGGCTTTAGTCTGTCACCAGTTTAGCTAACTCAGAGAGTCTACTGAAGAATCTGACATCACAAAGGATAACAGGTCAAATTTCACAGTGGCCTAAAAGTCTCTACAATTGTGAAAAAAAAAAGTTTTCCCGCTTGAAATGAAAAAAGATTCAAGCAGTGTATAACCTTTTACCAAGAGATTATGTTCTCTTGCCTTCCACAGATTACGAAAGGGCAAAAAAAATTGACGTTGGCATCACTTTAAATAATCCCCACTGACATTTCCGAAAAGTTCCCTCACTTCAATCTTCCTCCCATTGATCCACTTATGGTTATTTGCTTCATATTTTTCAAGCCTGGACCGCCATCAGTACAGGGAGCTCCTGGAAGCAAGGGGATCATGGGACAGAAGGGAGAACAAGTATGAACTTAATGCAAACTTAATGTTTGTAGTAAATATTTTTGACACCATTTTTAATGAGTACGTTGGGTCTCAATTGAAGACACAGTAGACTTGAGTAAAAACTTATGGAGTTCATTGAAAATCTTATTGGACAATAGTTCAATTTGACGGACGTTAATGGAGCAAGGACATTTACTTTCAGCGTTAGGTTTTTGAACATTCAGTATTTCTGCCGAGTTCATTGAAACGATACTAAAACTAAAATCAATGCATTTACCAACGTTCTCCAAGGTCAACTTATTAAGATCTTAAGATATAAATATGTCTACCAGACAGTTTGTTACCCTTGTCACTTTAAAATGTCCATTATAAAAATGATTACGCCTTTTCGTAGGATGTAACAGCTCAAGAAATAGTCTATTTTTATGCGTTTTTGATGTATCTAACACGTTGTCTTCATCTTTCCGCACTGATGGTTAGGACTTTTAGATGTCTGCTATTTTCGAAACTTTCCGAGACATTGTGACGCCTTTATCTATTTTAGGGACTTCGTGGCCCAGCCGGTATTCCAGGCCCTCCCGGTACACCAGGGGGCTGTGTGAGATCAGCGTCATCCAACACCACTACCCCCACAGTATTTTGCGTACCAGGTAAACAAGGTCTTAAAGGAAATAAAGGGGACAACGGAAACCGTGGATTATCAGGGCCCCCTGGGTCGCGAGGAAACAGAGGCCCACGAGGATATAGGGGTAACGGAGGCCCCCCAGGGAAAAAGGGTGACATTGGGCCCCCAGGCAACTTTTCTGATCTGGAATGTTTCCCTCGGTACACCAGCTGGATAAATAGAAGTGAGTGGTTCGATAAATATCCGGAGGTCCATTGTGACAGGAGAGAATTCTTACAAGGCTACAGTCTAGAAATAAGTGATGCTCGCGGGCAGAGAAGATTCAAATACACTTGTTGTACACTTAGGCTGACCAATAGTCCTTGAAAAGCTCAGCAAATGAACTGAGTGACGACTGAAATAAACAGCCAACAAACAATGACTCGACTCTCAACAAACAATGGACGGAAATTTTTATTGATGACAAAGTTGAAGATAGTATCTCTGAAGAAACATGAGATGAGACAAAAGGATTTTTTATGCATTGAAATGAAGATACATATAGTTAACACCTGTGGGATACCATTTCTTGACTATCCGTGCCCACGTAAAAAACTTATCAACTGTAGTCAAGTTTAATCAGAAGCCAGAAATTATTGCTCCTGACGTACACAATTACATTTGATGTAATCTTCCTCAGAGATTATAGATAAACAGTCATACAGAAACCAAAATGACGTGCAGTCGGCTTTCTATCAGCATTGCGCTAAAAGGTCGACGGAAAGATATTTGCTTCCAAATCACGTTATCTTAGTCTTTAAAAAACAAGAATATGTATCATCGTGCCATATTCACCATAATGACGATTAATTGTACGTAGTACGCTGTGAATTAGGATTTCAGTTTTTTGTTTTAAGGGTGTGGGCTATCAGCAGGGCACTAATGCGAGTATTGATTTGCTCCAAAAAGCAGTTGAGATAGAAGACAGTTACAGATCATTAGAGTTACTTAAACATACTCCAAAATAAATGTGAGAGTTACGATGTTAGAGCCTTTGACTCACTGCTCTTTCTAACGCCATTGTAAAAATTACCTGAGGAAGGCTATAGAAGCTTGAGCTGCACGCGCACTTGGCTGTTTGGATAAAAGTCACCCCTAGTTTCCGAATTCTGGACCATCCATTCTAGTCTCGACGTTTCTATCGCACAACAGGTTTTTATCAAGTTTCAAGGCTTTGAGCGTCAGGTGCTGAAATATTTGCTTTGAGAAGGGTTTATATAATGTAAAGAAATATTGAATGTCTTTTTCCTCTGTGGTGGCTATGTTGTAATCCTTTTAAAATAACTCAGTTAATGATAAAGGGTTTTTCTCATCCTTCAATCGTTGACCTTTACACAATTTTCGCAGCACCTGATGTTTCCTGAACCCATAGTTATCGTAACTTGGTTTGAGAAATAAAAGTTGCAACTACATCTGTTCTTTCGAGCGAGATCCTTTTCGAATCAAACTTATTCAGTCCACAGTCAATGATTTGAACCTGGGATATAAACTCTACCGTAAAGTGTGATCTTCTCTGGGATGGTCAGGCTCTTAAGAAGGTCTTTTTTCTCGCAGGCATTGACTAACTTTGGAAAAACCTGTGCAGAAGTCATTATTAGAGTCAGATGAAGATGATGATCTGTTCTCAGGTTTTGAAAAGATCAGCTTGTGACACCCCGAGCTTTAAGTTCTCGAGTTTTTAGGTGAAATCAAGAAATAAATAAGGAGGAGAGGGAGGGAGGCTCCTGGTTTAACCTTTGGGATTTGTCAATTACATTTCAACGATGACGAACTCGACAATAGGTAATTGCAAATTCAGGGGGGACTGTTTTATTATTTGCCTCCTAGAACAGATTGTTTGTCACTGGAACTCATTCGGAAATATACAAGTTCCTCATTCAGACGAATAAACGTTTTTCTTCTGTAAGGTATGCCCAGCTGGCGAGTTAATTCAGTTCATAAAAGAGAGAGCCCTTAAAGTGCCAGGATATATTTGTCTGGCATAATTCTGACAAGAAAAATTCAAGAAAACGCGAAGCGATTTAGATTCATTTGATTTTTCCTCCAAGTTTTTGATCGTCTAGAAGAATGCGTCAAATTTCTTCATGAAATGGACACAATGTATTCAGCTCTGGAGATCTGAAGATGGTCATTTCGATCTGAACTATTCAAATTTGTGCAAATGATTTTCATGTTTTCGGTTCTAAGGGCCTGTTTACACGGAGGTGGGGGACCCCAGGTAGGTGAAGTGACCCGCCCAGGTGGGGTAGCCCGCCTGTCCATATGATTTCTTATTTTATCTTGATCACGTTTACACGATAGGTGGGGTGACAATTTGCCATGTAAACGTCTCAAGGTGGGATAACCCGCCTAGCCGGGGTTGCGTTCATGGCAAAAAGCTCAAAAGGGAAACGTGTATGTTTTAAAACTTTGTACATTTCCTAGCCTTCTCATGGCAGAAATCACCGGGAACCGCAACGGACACACAAGGAATGTAAAATGTTCACATTTCGCAATACTTCTCGTTGTAAATCGACCATATTTCGTTTCCCAAACTATTCCGTATAACGTATTAGGTCAACGGTTCCTCGCGTAACCTAACACCGCGTAACACAACGCGTGACGCTTTCATGAATAAATACATATTTTTCCGAGAATTAATCTTTCGTCTTTCTCGAGATGTGAGCTTGGGACCCCTCTGCTCAAACTCCTTAATTTCAAGCGCAACAACAACCTCTAGAAACCTCACCCCAGCACCCCGGGGTTGTAAGATTGTATGTAAACGCGTTTTATTTTTCGACCACGGCCAGGCGGGTTACCTCGCCTATCTGGGGTCCCTCACCTATCTGGGGTCCCTTACCTATCTGTGGTCCCTCACCTATCTGTGGTCCCTCACCTATCTAGGGTCCCTCACCTATCTGTGGTCCCTCACCTATCTGTGGTCCCTCACCTATCTGGGGTCCCTCACCTATCTGGGGTCCCTCACCTATCTGGGGTCCCTCACCTCCATGTAAACAGGCCCTAAAATTTCGTCTGTGTCTTCTATAATTGGTGTTGAAACGTTTATTCAATTTTGAAAAGGTGTTATTTGTGAACCTTTGACTTTTACAACGACCTCGTTTTGCAATATAACTTAATGTTTGCACGCATTTAACGAAACTTCTTACAGGTCACGACTCATCTTCTTATATTTGAGCTAGAGAGGAAATTGTATAAAAACAGCTCTATTTATTAACGTTAACTCTATTATTGTCTGAAGAGTTTTTACTTTCGTTGATATGTAAATACATAGGAAAAATGATTTTGGACACTACATGTACTTGAGAACGAATAAAGTTAAAAATGGCGCTGAGGAATTATTTGCTTTGTGTAAGGAAAGTTTTGCTGGTAAAGTTCGTGATTTAAGACAGGAATTTTTTGTTCTTCAACGAGCAGAAACATTGCATAACGTAACCTATCTGCAAAAATAGAACATTTCCCATGTAGTTGTATTCATAATTAGGGATAGTCGGAAGTTATGGAATTTTTGAAATGTTTCAGCTCCTACGATTAATATCATTAGTTAAGTTATGAGACTTTAGAGTGGTCTCCATTTTTACACGTTTTTAGGGATTTAAAGACGTAATTTTTGGGCTTTAATTTTTTCTGCAAATACGAATTAAGATTTCTTACAAGGTAGAAAATGGTAAAGGTGTTGTAGAATCTCAGGAAACGTCTAATCTCTCGCTCCAGTCCCTTCGCATTACGCAGTGTGTTTGTTTCCTTTACCAAGCTGGCGTGTTTTAAAAACAACTTACATAAAAATTTTTCCTGAACAGATTATGGCCAAATTAACACCAAATTGGAAATCTACGGTTAATTCCTTGCATTTCCGTGGCTATCCGCTGTGGTTTTTTATCCAAGGGGGCTATTATTCTTGCTGTCATCGGAAAGAGAGACCCATATGAGACACTATTCATTTCGTGCTTAAACTCGCCGTGAAACGACAATTTTTTCATCTCAAACGGCGAATAGCAGAAAGATAGGTGGAATTTATGTCGCAATTGGAAATAACCTGATGCAAGTGATGACGGACAACGTACCACCAGTTGTTATGTTATGATTTTATTGGTCAAAGTTGACTTCAAGGGTAACATAAAATCGATCGAGGTAAAGTCATTTTTAGCTTGTTCCTGTTAGTCACGAGAAGGGAAAGAAGTGGAAAGCTAATTTTCAGCAAACGTTGCTTGTTTGTGAAGGAGAAGCTCATTCAGTATGCGTGATAGAGGAGGCAAAGGTGGCTTGTACAGATTACAATGGTTTTTCTCGATTATCTTTATTGCATTTGTGATAGCTGTGGCATGTTTTGTGAACGAGGCGGAATCAGTGCGCGAGTCGAAAGCTGCGGAAAACTCTAAATCCAACAAAGAAAAGGTAAAACTATCTGAAAATGCGATTATGAAAGGAGTTGTTTACTGGAAATGAAATGCAGGACTAAGGAAAGGGGTGATCTTAGGATGTTTTGAAAATGTGAGGTCGAATGGGTACCGGAGAGGCGTATTATTTTATCGCACGTACTTTATCTGACATCAAAACAAAAACTAAGGGTTGTTTACTTAATAAAGATTGTTGTTGAAGATTCGTTGGCGATAGGCCGGGGAGTTAGCTTTATTCGTGTGTAACCAAAGAATGTTTTCTTAGTTAACGCACAGACAAGTTGTTGTTCAAAGTTGTCAATGACCTGAACTCAATGAAATCAGTTCTCCAGTCTCGCCAGATATTGGTTACTGATAGCCACCCAGAATCAAAGCAGGCTCTATCAACAATGATATTGCGTGGCAAACTAAAAATAACACTATCATTAGTTGTTAAAAAGTTCTTATATACATCTCTCAACTGTGTTTGTACATACAACTGTATAAAACATCCTTAAACCAAACATGTCCTTTACAAATCAGAATTTTACGGCTGGTAGCGGATGTGGTAACAATAGCCGAATAATATTAACAGTACAATTCGTATTTAAATCTTCATATCATTGGTAATAAAACATTATGTAATAGAATATGTATTTTTATTGTTATTGTTATTGTTATATTTCCTTAAACAGGACGCCGGACAAAGGGAATTATCAATTTTGTTTTTTAAAATGCTTTTTTGTCTAAGAGAAATGTTACAACTGGAAAACATG